CATGCCTGGTATTTGGTTGTCAGTGTTCAGTAATTCAGTTTTCTATGTAACATGCTTTTGTCTATTTTCTTAACTACTAGTAATTCAGTATTCTATGGTCTGACTAGAATCATTGGTCGGACTATAATCATTGGTCTGTGCTATGTTAAAAATGGCTTTGGTTATAGTTTGGACAAGTTTTCTCATATACTACTCTTTGTCTTATTGTCTTTCAGGGATCTTAGCTGGGATCAGTTGAAGAGTGACATCTCAGTCTTACTGTCTTGTCCTACTTGCTTGCCTTGTCCTGCTTTCTTCGGTGCGCACGACAAGCTAGAAGGCACCGCCGCCAACCTCTTCTCTAGATCAGATCTTGACCAGGTGAATCCCCCTCTTCTGGGAACTGGGATCCCCTTGCCCTTCTCCTATTTACCAAGATATATATCGGAGCTGCACGAGATGGTCAGCTGCTGGTTTGGCCTGTTGGAATTGATAAATTTTGAGAACGATATAATTGCTAGACAATGTACATGGAATCTGACTTTTTTTCGTTTTTTGTTTCATGGCAGGCCATGCTACTTGCGTGGGGATGGAGCCATTACAATGTATTAATGCCAATACGAATGTGCTACTCATCGTTGGAAATTTTGTATGATGTTTTGGGTTTAAACATTACGGCATAATGCATATGGTTCCTTAACAACCATAAATCATATCAAAAAGTCATAGCACCTTATATTGACTTACCCATTTTTACCATTAACAAGACCGTCCAGAGTTGGAATACCAAGTCCCTCTTATGGCAGAAAGAAAACTCAACTTAAAAGAATATTTACAGTATCTGCAATGGGCTTTTACAGTTTAACTCTTTCTATTATTGCATCATTATTTATTACAAGGAGTTCATTGATATTGTATCCTTTATGACTTGCCTGCATACTAATTTTTCTTAGAGAAGTTTAATATAGACTGATATGGACTGCACGATCTGACAATATAGACTAGATGGTAAATCTCTAGTCACTTCTCATCTCCCGCAGAGATTATAGCAGTTTAGAGATAAATTTAAATTGTATGTGACATTGCATCTGGATGAAGATAACTATAATATCCCATGATAAGCTTCCCAGCAAGCCTAGCTTAGACTTTATTATAACAATATATTGGATTATTGGTGAACATCTAACATACCAATCTTAGACGATATGTCTTGATGTAAGGTTAAAAGTTTAATCAGACATAGGTATCTATAATGGTAGCATTTTTTGAAAATTTTGCCATTGTATCAGCTTATTAAGTTCTCTAATGCAGTGTTATTGCTGCTCCGAGTCTACAAAAAATGCTTCTTGTGTCCATAAGTCGTTTCAGAAGAAAAACTAATGAGGTTGCATCTCTGCTAGGTGCCTGTTAAGTGTTGAGTGCCCTCCTAGATGCCTGTTGAGTGACCAAACCTGAGACACAAGGTAATTAAGTTAAAATCTTCAGATTCTTCCTTTAGGTCTCATCTAATCTAGTATCACCCCCACCCAATCTGCACATGCACATACTGCCTGCATTTTGTTCCTCGCAGTGGATAAAGCTTATCCTGGCAACTATAAATGCTTGACAGCATATTTTCCATTGTAAGCAGTAATACATACTTTGGATTAATAGTTCTGCCTATACAGTTTTTATTGAGGTGTTTTTGCTGCTTAACTATATATATGCAGAGAAAGCTGTCTAAAATACTGAAAAAACTTCCATGCAATTGAAATTTATTTTGCCCTAGCAAGTTATCATCAATGAAGTTGCTGGTTGTGCGAACAAGTTCGTGGTATGATTGTTGTGAATATAGCAAACTTGCTGCCCTATTTATGATAGATTCGTTAGGAGTAAAAGATAAGAATACACTCTATTTCTTAGACTGATACATTGAGAAATTGGTTATTTGCGCATGGCCAGCCAAAAGCTTCGCCTCATCTTTTATTTGTGCTTGTTTAAATCCAGGAGGGGCTATGGCCAACTCTGGTCCAATGAAGTTCCATCCCTACTGGTATTGAAATTGTTTAACTTTTCACTTTTGATTGAGCCGTAAGCACAATAACATAGATGATTTTCATCGCCATAACCTCATATGCATGTCATGTCATGACCTCATAGACAGAGTAAAGAGTGAGCTCAATCTTCAGACTTATCTGATTGCTCAATCTTTGATAATTGAACCCGTGTTGTATCTGATGTCCTCATATGTATTGATTAAATAAAGTATCAGTTATTACATTTTTTTGCTCGTGCATGATAGGCGGAGTGACCACTACTAACGATTTCAGCGAATTAGTATTCAGTCCTATTTGTAATCAGGCGCATGATTTTCAAAGTGAGGTTCTTTTGGGGTAATTCATTGATTTAATTTATTGACTGCAACACTGACCCAAAAGTTTTTTATTTGTTTATAGGCCTACGCAATCGTCTGCTTGTTGATGAAGCCAGACGTCGTCGAGTTCAAGAATTTGCTAAGAACACCGTGTCGCATCTCATAAATTTAGAGAACTAAATAATATTAAAATTATTTGCACGCTTGTGATATGCACTTTGAATAGATGATAGACATGAATTTAGTTTAATATAATAGTTGTTTTGTGCATTTTCATTGGTCAAACAGGTTCAAAATATGTGAATTGAGTAATGTTTGTCTGATATATTTGATTGCTTCATTTAATTTGTAATATCGAAGACTTCTTGCCGATATAAAACATTATTTTAGTCGTATCACGGAAATGTCTATATAGTAGAGTTTGTGAGCCTGGGTGCCGTACTCTTAGTGACTGTTAATTTCATAAACTTTGCTTTTTTGGATTAAATGTCAGTTTAATGTCTTATAGTATTGTTATCTTAACTTGCGATCCGTGTGTTTTTAGTATAAAAGTTTAGTTGTCCCGTAGCAACGCACGGACATGCTATCTATAATATAATATAATATAATATAATATAATATAATATAATATAATATAATATAATAGTCATGAATCCATGTGATGGTCATAGCATGGCTTATCGATGAGCCCCCGTTGGAGGAGCCGTGGAGGACATATTATATTATATTATGAGCAGTGGAGGACAGGATCACATGAGGAGCATTATATATGAGTAGTGATTGTTTGTGCTCATATACGGGATGGACACAGATGGTTAGGTCATATGCATCATGAGGGAGGCGTCGTCTCATCAGAGCTGCAGCAAGCGCTAGCAGTTGTGGCCACATGGTTGAGCATGCGTCGTGGTCCATGTTATTTTTATTTATGGTCACCGGAGAATCTGACCGAACGCTGTGTCTTTCTTTATGGCGACAAGTACACGGGATCTGACACGTGGACCCAGCCATAGGGCGCTCACGAGGAGCGTCTGCAGTCTCCGAAGTGCAGACGTTGCGTCGTCATCTCCTGGCCTCCTAGGCGTCGACTTCTCCTGGCCTCTCCTGCTACGCCGTGGGGATGGCGCGGCGGCGCCGCGCCAAGATCGGTGGCGCGGCAGACCCTGCCACGTCACCGGTCAGCGCACCGGTCGTCGCTACGTCATCCCTATCGTCGCGCCACCATGCATGGCGTAGCACAGGCATTTTACCGCGTCCAGGAAAATAGGCACGACCAAAAGTGTTAGTTTTGAAAAAAAAACATTGTTAGATTTAAAATTAGTTTACAAGAAAGTGTTAAAAAAAAAAAAAAGGCCGTCGAGTTTCTGCTTCAATCACTCGACTTAAACGACTCTGAAGATGTGATTCCTATCTACATCGGGGATGATCGAACGGACGAAGACGCCTTCAAGGTTCATTGTCTCTCAGGAAATTTGTTCGGTTGTGCTTGTGCATCTCACTCGCATGTTTGAGGCGTTCTAAACTCAGAATCTTCTGTTGCCTCTCTCCAGGTACTTCGACAGCGAAACTGTGGCTACGGAATCCTAGTTTCGCAGGTGCCCAAGGACACTACTGAAGCCTTCTACTCGCTGAGAGACCCTTATGAAGTAATTCTCTCGTGATCTTTTTCAGTACTTCTTTCTACCCTGTCGGATTCGTTCAATCTGGCCTTATATGGCTCTAATCTGCGTCTGCTTGTCACACAGGTGATGGGGTTCCTCAATTCCTTGGTGAGGTGGAAGAAGCACTCACCGTGACGAAACTGAAGAAAACACGATGATCGATCCAGAAGTCGTAAAGCAACTGTAGTTCGTGCGGCGGCAATTTTGTAGAGTTGGACGCACCGGGTGGCTCATTCTTTCATGTGTTCTGTTCATTGTTTTTTATTGTCCGTGTTCTTCGTCACTGAGAAATGATCAGTGGTTCTCTCATCCTCTTGCAACTGTAATTTGTAAGCAAGAGGCCCCTCTTCCTGTTCAGCCTGTTGAATAAAACCAGGACGCTTTTACCTTGCCCTGAATTTGCATCTTTCGGTGGTGTTGATTCGTTACCAAGGCGTGTCAAAACTTAGAAGTAATGCATTTGATCGTGGCATGCTGATGCAGTGATGCTTGCTTGCAGCTAGCCTGCTAAATGCTTCTGTGCCAACTGCCAAGTTAAGCTGAAACGACAAGGGTTCCCATGGCAAGAAGGGAACACAGGGACAGGTCAGGGGTCTGGCGATGAATGGTGAAACCCAACAACAATTGAAGTGGTTTTGCACTGCGACGAGTAAGATTCAGAGTTCAGACGCCGCTCAGAAGTCGGAACATTTGTTTCCCGAATTTGATCCAGGCGTACCCAGCCGCCGTTGGATCGGTCGCTATTTGCGGCAAGGATCACGATCCGACGGCTGCGGCCTGCGAGCGGTGTCATCCTTTGCTTGCCGACCAGAAAAGGGAGCCGTGTGCTTTCTACTCTCTGCTCCTCCTCTTTCTCCCCCGCGTGTTTATTCACGCCCAAACCCCAAATCGCACGCGTCATCCCAATCCCAACCCAATTACGACACGCCTGGCCAGCCGCCGCCGCCGCGCCGCCCGAAATCCGGAGGCGAAGCTCCTCGACGCCATCGCGGCCAGCGGCAGCTCGGACGATGGCCTCCTCCAACTCCAACTCCGCCGCCCCGGCTGCCGCCGACGGGGCCGACGACCTGGACCAGCTCCTCGACAGCGCGCTCGACGACTTCACCAACCTCGATCTCTCCGCCTCCGCCGCCCCCAAAAGGTAGTACTCCCTCTGGCGTATCCTCGTCGGAGCCAAAAGCTGCTCCCCGCTAGGACTTTGAGCGAATCACTGGCTCTCGTGTCTCGCTCTACAGCGCCGGCGAGGCGTCGGGGTCAGGATCGGGAGGCAAGGGGCCGGTGAAGGGGCTGGGGCTGGGGCTCCCGGACCCCAAGGCGCCGAAGCGGCGCGCGGGGAAGCAGCCGCCGCAGCCGCCGAGGGGCGCGTGCGCGAAAGAGGCGCTCGAGGAGCTGACGCGCGAGACGCGGGAGGCTGTGCGCGGCCTCGAGACGGCCACTGGGGGTGTCCCGTCACTGGACGATGACGCCATGATGGAGGAGTTTGTCAAGCAGTTCGAGGAGTTCGCAGGAGCACAGGTACCCTTTCTCTTGCCTGTCTGTTCAAAGAAAATTACAGGCAAGAGTATCCTATTGCTTCTGTTCACTATAGTATCCACAGTTTTTCTTTTTGTTGGAAACAATAGCTATAGTTTATTCCTTGAAGCTTGTTGGATACTCCCTCTGCCCCAAACTATAGGCCAAACTTATCCTAGTTTTAACTAAGTGTTTTAGAAAAATAGACCAACATTTAGAAATTGCAACATCAAATTAGTTTCATTAAATTTCCCATGAAATCTGTCTTGATAGTTCATTTATTTGAACTGTAGATGTTAATATGTTTCTTTCTCAAAACGTGGTCAAAGTTTGACTTAGGGCAAATGTAGACTGAACTATAATTTGCAATTGGGAGTATGACTGAACCATTGGAAAAAAGGTGTTGTCAGACTGCTTTTGATGTCTGCGCGGTGGGGGTGGGGTGGGGTGGTGGGCGTTAGTACTGGTGTGCATTGATGCATTAAGGTTTCTTTTAAGACTCTTTACTTGAGAAACTGCAGCTGACATTAAGGTTTCTCAAGTAAAGAGTCTTAAGGTCAGCTTGTGAGCTTAATGCATTAAGGTCAGCTTGTGGGCAGCTGCAGTAGTGATCTATTGACTAATTTACTATTTGCAAATAGGATGTGTTTGAGCATACTTACTAAACTCATAGATTTAGGAAGTTAACAAAAGAAATAGCAACCTTAAATTTTGTCCTTCTCCAACAATCTTCTATAATAGTTCCTTAAACGATTTTGCATTGGGAACCCTGAACTATTTCTAACCAACTTAAACTTTTTTAATAGTTTCTTTGTCTCTTACCACTTTCTCATCTGGAACCCTTTATTTTATTAATTTACTCATGCGTCCAATTTACTCCGATCTCCCGAGAAAAACTTTGGACGGGGAGCGGTCCTCTTGACTGCAGAAACTTACGAGTTGGAGAGGATATTTGGCAACTTTTTATTTTTAAGGAGCTCTTTTACCAAACTGTTGGAGGGCACTTTTTTCCCTTTTTGCTAAAAAATCAAAATAGGAAGTTGTTTTACAGAACTCCTGGAGATGCTCTTACAATCACTCAAACAGCCATTTGATAAATTGATAAGTCCAATGGGAAAAAGGATCTGTAGCTGCACATTGGCAATTTGGTCTTGGATAATTATTGATGTAAGAACACTTAATATGTAGTTTATCCTGACCCTGTATTCAACCGTGCAATGAAATTGTTACATTTATCATTCATGAGTGTCACTGATACATTTAAGATAGCACAAATAAGATTATGTGGCTTCCTGTATGCTATAGGTTTTCTGCTTAATGTGCTCCAGTTATGGGATATAAGAAAGCCTTTGTGGTACAACAAGTTCCTAGCTTATTATGAAATTAGCATAAGAGCATCTCCAGGAGACACTCTAAATTTCACCCTCTATCTCCATCTGGCTATCCATTTCAAAAGATTCCCTCTCCATATTATTCCATACTCCTTGCAGACACTCCAAATCTTACCCTGCATATCCTATTATCCTACACTTAATTGATATACAAATTAGTTGTAACAGGTCGATTGTACAGGTATAATTTATAAATATATTAATTTTCACAACGGCTCAAACTTCCATTATTTAAATTGGCGTTGGAATTAACACATTGAACAACATATATATTTGAAATCTTGCACTGGAATTAAACAATATCCTTGACACACAAGTATGGTGATTGCATCACTTAGCTACTGACAAGTTGGCCCAAAGCTGCAGGTCCCATCGTCAGTGCGAATAACTAAAAGCACAGCCGTTCACTCATTCTTATCCTCTCTCTGTCATCCCCTTCCTTCTCGTCTTTTTGGTCTGTTCCTTGTTCTCAGCTACTTCTCTTCCCTCTCTCTCGGCACGCCATGGTTTTGATATGGTGAAGGGAAGAAAGAAAATAGTTTGGCATCCACGGAGCACGGAGTATGAACTGGACGACCAGTGCAAGCACGCCCCCCCACCCACACACACACACACACACACACATGGCTGAGTGGTGCAAGAGCCAGGGGCTGAGCAGCGCAGTGGCACGTGGGGATAGAGGCCCAGCAATGGCAGGCAAACAGCAGCGTGTGAACGGAGAGGGTTGGGCAGTGAGGTGCTAGTGTGCTACTGGCCAGCCAAATATGCCGTGGCAAGATCACTGAATGGTGTGTGAACAACGAAGACAGGTTGTATGTCGTGAGTCAAGATCAAGACTGCTGGAGCATCATTTTTTGGGTTTGTGTCCAAAAATATTAATCGCTAGTGCTTTGGCATAGCTGCTGGAGATGCTCTAAGTGAATCAGAAGTAACTCCAAGGCTGTTACTTATTGTACTATGGGAAGCGCATTCAATGTGACTGAACATTAGATATTTCACTTCCTTTTATATCTCATCTGAAGGAGGTATCATACTACTGTTTGGTGTTACAGCATATTTAATTTACAAAGTAAATTTCACAACATATATATTTTATGGTCATGGATTCTGAAAACTACATGCTCTTGATTAGTTGGCAATTGCAACTCATCATAGATTTTAAGGACATAATATATCATTAACTATCACCCCGATAATTGCACTTCAATAGCTCATTAGCCCTTTGATAAGCGCCACTTGTTGGTCCACTCTGTTCACCAGGATGCAATTTTGTGAAATCCTTTGACCATAAATATGTGGGTTTAAGTGCCACTAGCAACTTCGTTTTTGTGAAACCTTATCACTATTGAACCTGGCATAATGAAAAAAGGGCGTACCCAGCGCAGAGAGCTCCCGCTCTGTGCGGGGTCTGGGGTGAACCTGGCATAATGACACTAGCTAAAACTAAAAGGCTGGGGTTTTCTTCAATGATTGATTTGGGACGTGTGATCCACTCTACTTTTCACTTTGGACCTGTATATTTATGAGCTAACGCTTTTCTTTTGTCATCCACAGGATATGGACTCCATTGTTGAAACAATGATGCAGCAACTTCTGTCCAAGGAGATTCTTCATGAGCCCATGAAGGACATTGTGGAAAAATATCCAAAATGGCTGGAGGATAATAAAGATAAGATAAGCAAAGAAGAATATGGGCGTTATAATAATCAGCTTGAACTCATGGTGAAGCTTATTGAGGTCTATGAAAATGATCCTGAGAACATGACTAAGATTTTTGACCTCATGCAAAACATGCAAGAATGTGGTCAGCCCCCCAGTGATCTTGTCCAAGATATTGTACCTGATCTGGATCTAAGCAAGTTGGGACAACTGTGAGTTTTTCATGTCTTTCCTGTAAACCATTCTGCCATTAATTTTACATACATGTCCATGCCAAAAGAAGTCTAATTGATAGGCTTGTGGGGTTACTCTATCTGTTTCAGACAGCCTAGGATGTGTTTTCTTGATAAATCTTGTTCTTTTGTCCAACAATGTTCTAAATACATATTGGCTTAGTCCTGCTAGAATATTATTCCTAGACTTTTCTCTAAGAGTCTAGATATGCTTCTAAGGATTATGGTTTTGTTATTATGTGAATAGGTAGAGATTGTGAAAAAAATCAAAGAGTTTGAAATATAAGGACGACCTGTGGTTAAAAAAAAAATCCTTATGAACTGTTCCACGTCACCCTGATAATCCATGATGATATAATTTGAATGCATTTTAACCTTTAGTCACCTGCCTTTCAAATGTGAATTATCTTTTTGCTAGTGAATTTTTATTTGTACAACTTTTGGCACTGCCCTCTAGTGACAATAATTGGGTCACAGCCTCACAGGAGCAAACCCTGTAGAACCTACAAAGGTGGGTTATGCAAAGAAAATGGCATGTACATCATATTCTTGCAGTTGAACATGATTTCGCTTTAATGTGTTCGAAAGAAAAATAAACGTCTTCTCCACTTCCCTGTTTGAAAATGAAAGTAGCTGTCTTGTAGATCGAAGTTTTCACTTTTCCATCAGTAGGTGGGATGATTTTTTTTGTCTGATTCTTTTAAAGAATATGAACTGCCATTTTTTTGCTATTTGGTGATTGTACTTATGGCAAATTAGTCAGTCATTGATGTTGACTAGCAATATGAACAGTTATGTAGCACATGGCAAGATGAATATTGGTGGTTCGGATGGTTATAGTTGAGTATCAATTTTAGCTTAGCTTGAATTCCATCTGTGGCAATGTATTATAATATAACTAGAGTTCGCGCCATTGCACTATATTCACAAAGTAGATGTTTTGCCTTATGTTATCTTAATATATTCATCACAGCATATGATATGGTACACGTCGGAATGACATCCCATGTCTAACTATTTATGGTTCCGTTATATTACAGGTCTCCTGAGATGCTTGAATCAGCACCAAATTGTTGCGTAATGTGAAGACCAAAAGCATTCGATTTGGGATTCAAATTCCATGAAGTTTTCTTTACCTGTACGAAACCCCCCTTTTGGCTTTAGTAGATTCAAGATAATTTCCATCTGGATAATCTGTAAGCCTTGCAAATATATAATGAGTTCAATGTTCTTTCTGGTTCTTGAATGGAAGCTATATTCTTTCCGTTGATGTACTGCAACACTCTCGTCGCTCCTATACAATGAGTGCATACCTTTCAAAGCCCCCCGATTTTGTGACTCATTTCTGTTACGACTATCATCTGTTAACACTCAGTTGTTCGGAAAAAAATTGCTACCACTCCGGGGTGTGCATGGATTTTGCAATCTACCCGTTCTATTCTAATCCTAACCAACCCGTAAAAAGAAATGAATGTTTGTTTAGCTTTTTCTAATCTTAGTATGTTCATTACAATAGGAATAAAAGGAAATGAAGGATCAAAGTTGTATTATGCAAAACTGCTACTACTATCTGATCTTGATCTCAAAGTTAAAAAAAAAATATCTGACTTAGTACAAATCTAAATGTATATTTATGATCCATTGAAGCAGTTGGCTTGGCGTGGGATGCATTCCTCCTTTTTTAATTATAATCGATTTTAGCTCAAATTTCTCCAACTTTAACTTAAATTGTTGAAATATTTTTCAATATATATCTACAATATCAAATTAGTTTCATAAAATTCACTTTGAAATGTATCTTGACAGTACATTTATTGAACTTGTGGATGTTATATTTTCCTAAGAACTTAAAAAGGAGGCGTACCCAGTGCAGAGAGCTCTCGCTCTGTGCGGGGTCTAGGGAAGGGTGTTAGTGGCAAGCCTTACCCTCGCCCGTGCAATGCGAAGAGACTGCGACTCGAACCCGAGACCTCTCGTCACAGGCGGTAAGACTCTACCGCTTGCACTAGGCCCGCCCTTCTTTCCTAAGAACTTAGTCAAAATAAAAAAATTAACTTGGGACGACAAAAGTAAACTGAACTGTAACTTATCTTAGGAAAAAACTAAACTGATGTACGCGAGATGTCTGCGTGTGCCCAAATTAACAGAGCGCACATGATCCACGTGCCAGCAAAGGCCACCTCGGTTGTTTGCCTTAGCCTAATCTAAACTGGCATTATTTTAGTGTCAGAAGGTAGCAAGAGGTTACGCGCGCTCTCCGCTCTCCCTAATAAAGAGGCGGTACCACGGGGTACAAACTACAAAGCCATTTCTGCAAACATGGAGCACGGCATGCGGCTCTAAAGGTACGCAACGACGATGCGCATTGCACGCAGGTGGAGAGATGCATGCGTCGTCAGCTCTAACGATGAAAACGGAACGGAAATATCTCGAATCGAACCGTATCGTTTTCTATATTTAATCCGATTGAATTCGCATTTTCTTGTCCAATTTTACCGTTTTCGTTTTCGCATTTGAGATGTTTCGTATTTCAAATGTAAAAATAGAAAACGGTTTATACATTTTTCGACCGTTTTCTACTTTTCTACTTTTAATTTGAAATATTCCGAATTCAAAATTCGGTTTAAATCGAATTTGGCCAACTGCACAGGTCATACAGGCTAATTACAGGCTGCTCACCACGCAGCTGCGTTCTTTCTACTGGTGGCTAGCTTCCCTCTCTTATAGACGGCGCCCAGCCTCATCTCTCTTATTATGTATTTGGTCGTGCACTTGTTTAATGCTATATACTTGAACTAGATCATGCACTTGTTAGTTGTGAACTTGCTATGTATTTGGTCGTGCACTTGTTTAATGCTATATGCAATCGTGGGTCGGTATTTCGTATTGAATTTTCGTGATACCGACCATGTTCGAAATATAATTCGCTTTCGAATTAGTTCGTTTCTGAAATCTAGATATTCCGTAAGTTCGTGTTCGTTTTCGTGTCCGGTTTGTCCGCTTTCGCTTTCGCTTTCGTATTTCAAATGTAAAAGTAGAAAATGGTTGAGGAGTTTTTCGACCGAGTTCAACCGTTTTCATCCTTAGTCAGCTCACACATTTTGTCCTTTTATATATTATATTAACCTGACTCTAGCTAAGGTCATGTTTTGATCCATCCAACTAATATTTAGCTAGCTAATTGATAGAGCTAAATTTTAGACACCTAGCTAAACTTTAGCTAAGGATGTTATGATCCTCTAGCTAATTGAAGATCTTGGACCATGCTACCCCTCGTTAATTTCATTGATTTTATTGCTCATCTGGTCTTCCCACTCCCCAATTTCCCACCCCATCCCGCTCGGCACTAGGTCACCGCTAGCCAGCTTCGCGCCGCCGCTAGCCGGCTTGAGCCGGCGAGTCCACGGCCACGCTTGGTCGTCGTCATGCCGCCAGCAGCCCAGCTTCACCGTCTTGCTGTCGCCGTGAGCAGAACTGCTGTGGCTAAAGCCGCCCAGTAGCGCTTTTCGCCCGGCTCGGTGGCACAACAAGACTCGCATGACTCCAAGCGATTCACCCGGTCTCCACGGTGCCCACGCGATCCGGTCTCCACGGCGCCCACGCTTCCGCTCTGCGCGCTCGCCCGCTCGCGTGTAACATCCGCGCCTGTACAGGCTTGGCCAAAGGCCTTGATGTAATCTATATATGCACATGCTATGATCAATAGAAGGTTGTCCAGTTGATCAACACAATTCTACATGGTATCATCATCCACGGTTCTCCAAGAGTTTTCCTTCGCCACATCTCCTTCCGCTGCTCCAATGGTGCCCTCCTCCCACCACTCCGACTCCTCTTCTGATGGCGAGTTCTCCGTCGCTCCAGCCGCCGCTTCTGCGATCCAGGGCATCTCCATCCGCCACCATGTCCCTGTCATCCTTGACATGGACGACGGCAACTATGGCCAGTGGCGACATTTCTTCGATTCCACCCTCGGCAAATTTGGTCTTGAGGGCCATGTCCGTTCCCCTACTCCGTCCCAGGACCGCCATGGCGAGTGGCGCAGGGTTGATTCCTACGTCGTCAACTGGATCCTCACCACCGTCTCCAAAGGCGTTTTCGACGTTGTTCGCCGCGATCGCCACGACGCTTTCTCCCTGTGGCACGTCGTCGAAGGGCTGTTCCAGGACAACGAGCTGCAGCGCGCTATGTATCTCGAGACCGAGCTGCGCACCCTGTAGCAAGGCGACATGTCCATGAACGCCTACTGCACCAAGCTGAAGCGGCTCGTAGATCAGCTGCGTGACATCGGCCATCCCGTCTTTGAGCCGAGTCAGGTGCTCAATCTCCTCCGCGGCCTCAATCCCCGGTATCGCTACGTCAAGCCGGTGATCACGTCCAAGTACCCGCCGTACTCCTTCCAGAGCGCCCGCTCCTTCCTCATCCTCGAGGAGCTCAGTGCTCAGCACGATGCCAACGCCAAAGCTGGCCAGGCCCTCACCGTGACTCACGGCAACAACCCCAGTGGCTCCTCCAACTCGACGCCCACCGGCCACAAGGATGGGTCTTCTTCCTCCATAGCGCCTCGATCCAACAACGGCGGCAACAACCGTTCCAACAACCGCCAAGATCGGCGCGCCACGCTCCAACAACTCCAGCGCGCAGTCCATGCCATGGGCCGCGGGCTACAATCCCTGGCAAGGCATGGTGCAAGCCTGGCCCATGCCCTTCCACGCCCCCAGAGCCGGTGTTCTGGGACCTCGTCCGCCGTTCCAACCGCAACAAGCCATGACGGTCACACATCCGTCCACATCTTCGCCTGGCGGCTCATTCGACACAAGTGCCCTCTACGCCGCACTCCAGTTCGCCAGCGTTCCCCACCATCCTCCCAGCGCGTCTTAGTGGTACTTTGATACCGGTGCGTCATCGCACATGTCGTCATCTCCTGGTAACTTCCCTCCCTCTTCCCTGCGATCATCATCTTCTACTATCACAGTAGGCAATGGT